TACGACAGGAGAAGTGCAAAAACGCATAATCGCACCGGCTCGCCTGGTGCGTTCCAGCCTGGGTTGCATTAGCATATAAGCACACGGCGACTCCTCCTTCCCGCCCATCACTCCTCTGCCCCCTACGTGGCCACGCCACGTTCCCACTCAACCCACTCCTCCTCCGTGCCTACGACCCAGCGCCCACCATTCCCACATAACAGATCCCTTGCCCCACCCTTCTCCCCCTGCCTCCTACGCCTCCTCCTCACCACACCATCTGCGGGTCAATTGGCAAATCGTGCAGAAGTCCAGGCCAGGCGAGACTAGCCAGGCCGAGTTTTAGTGACTGCAGCAAAAGCAGACTCGCTCTCAATTCGCCGGATCGGTGATACAAGCCGCTCGAGCATTCTTTCAGAGGGATACATTCTAATGCGCACTGTGCTGTTTTAAAAAGCATTTTTCATTTAGGCACTAACAACACGCTGTGTATGTGAGCAACACGGTTTTGATAAAGAATGTGGAGTCGATTGCTTTGCTATCGAACCAGTCAGTCCTTCTGATGAACACCTTTCGTGGGAAGTTTTCAAGGGCCGCCTTCTCAGCAATCGGTCCAGGCAACGAACATATACAGTGTCTCTAATCACTGCAATGACTGTTTCGCATATATTGCTTTTTCAAACCGCCATTTAAAATCAAAGAATATTTCACTTACATTTTCCATAAAAAAACAGGGTCGACAGGAAACATTTTACTGTGATTTCAAACTTCTTGTTCCCTTCGCTCTTAATCCCCAGCTGGCTCATCTCAAGCAAGTTGAAAAAAAGCAAGCTCACTGCACACACGCTTCACCTTCACCAGACTGCGCAACCGGAAACAAATCCCAGTAGCTAAAGTTTTTCAGGTTTTACCCTCCCCAGAACAATCCCCTCTTCAACCGTTTTTACAAACAATCCCCTCTTCAACCGATAATCTTCAGCCTCACTTCCACTGGGTCAGCCATTATTTGGTCAGCGCAGGTCTCCAAATTACAACTGAGGAAAAAAACAAACCACGGTGCATATTTTCTAAAGTTTTTACGAGGTAAACGGTCAACCCAACAATCTTTGACAAAATGTGGTGTGACCAGGAACTGGTGTAATTATACGTTTTTTTTTCTCGTGCAACAAGCTTCTGCGGACACGAACTTGCTGAATTTGACAACACGTCGGCTCTTTTCATCCCGCTACTTATTCCTGGGATAATAAGCAAATCAACCGAAAAAAAACATTTTGGATGCCGCACTGCAAGTCACGACGCCCGGTGGAGAGGATGACTTCCACACCCCTGGATCAGCACGCAAACGAACCTGGAAGCTGACTTCACTTCCCCGACCTCGCAGGTGCCGCTGTAGTGCCCTTATTGTAGCTTGATGAGCGGCGCATCAATCCCCGAAATTTTGTGTTTTTAAGTCACAGAATTCGCACAAGTTCCGGCCCGAGATCGCTAAACTGGTTAAGCAAAGAGATACGGTTTGATTTCAGGTTTGGAGTCCCGTACACAACCTAGGAGCTTGCACCCAACCTTCCGCTGCTGATTTATCGAATTTAGAGCTCAGATCAAAGCTCAAGGCAGTAGACAGTTCAAAAGTTAGACTGGGGTTTTTTACCTGCTTTACTTAGTTCCAATATACTAGCCTGCATATTGCTAACTTTGTATGCAATAAAAGACCTTCTTTAGAATGGTGTCCACTGAAACTCTTAAACTATGACACTTAGCTAAATTGGGATATGGTGTCAATGGTAAGGACGTCGAGCGATCTCAAAGCTAGCATGAGTTTCGCTGCTTTGTAAGCGGTTCAAATTCCAGCTCCCAGCTTTCGCAAAGAAGCTGAATTGCGAAGACATATAAGCTTTTTAAGAAACGGTTTTTCTTCCAAAATCCATTGATTCGAAATGAAAAATGAATTATGCACAAGTGGCTGTTCGGGGAGAAGGGAACAAAAATGAAAATCAATACCAATTTGAATAATCATCATAACAATGGTGGTCACATCGCGGAGGAGGACAAAAAGAAATTCCAAGAGATGGAAAATTCAATATCCATTTCATTTGGTATGAAACAAACTCTCAATAATGATAATGATCACGGTGATAGTGATGATAACAAATAAAAATGCATAATGTTCGTGAAACATAGTTGTCAAAAAAAAAAAAAAAGAATTGCAAACGATTCAAAAACATTAAAAATCAGTGGGGAAATGATAATTATATGTTAATATCATAATTAAGGAAGCTGACACAACTCATGATGAGGTAAATAAAAGGTATATATACCCTCCTGGCGCCATTACAATTGATGATGCCGTTACCTTGTCTGCTGAGCAAAAGAAAGGAATACAAAACAAAAAAAAAAAAATATCGTTCCGTGTAAATAGATACAACAGCTGCAATATCGTTGTCGGTGAAACTTGCAATCTGCAAAATTCACGCAGCGCACTAGTGTATGGAAGTATTGCAAAAATCACGCCGCGAAGGAAGTGGAGGTGCAACAGACAAGGACAAAAGGAAAAAATCAGGCAGCTTTCTGGAACACCTGCAAATCGACTGGTGTAGTGAGTGAATTTTGCGGACTGCTGGACGACAGGAAGAACGAAAAACCACACTGAAACTTATTACACCTATTTCTATCGCCACTATCACTAAAATTTGTTGCAGAAACAAGAACGGCTCCTAACTGCTACTGCCACGATGGGAAACATGCTGTTCATAAATGCCTGGCGCTCCAACACACCCGTTTTTTCATCTTCTACTGATAATCATAGAAATTATTTTAAATCTACATTTGCCAGAACAGTATCGACGGTGTGTGCGTGGTATCCTTACAAACACCAAATGAAACAGCGACATCTTCCACTGAAAGGACTGTCATCCAGGAAATCCAAACCACCATAGTTACTTCGATTTCTCGGTACTAGTCCCGGAAGACATCTGAAGACTGCACTTATCTCAAGCTACAAAATGAATGATCTAACACAACCAGTGATCACAAAATTTTTAAAATTTCCACAAACATTTTTGAGAAAATGCCTTCCAAAACAGGCTTGAAAATAAAAGATAATATTCGTCCCTACTTCATAACCACGAGAAACAGAAGCATGTTGAAATACCAAGCGTAATTAAGACCCAACCAACACCAATGAACAACTGTCGATGGCTTCCCGTTCTGAGAATTTCTAAGGACTTCCAAGTATGGTAGACACCCATCACCAATTTGAATTTTGAAAGAACCAATGATCAGTATAAAGGGCCTAACTTTTCCACAGCGACTTCGAAAGTATGTATTCTAGGCTTCAACATCATTTAGTCACAAGAGGTCAATTTAATTCAAATAAAAAAAAGAGAAATTTGATTATCTTCTGACGAAAACCCTACGACGAGATGCGCAGACAGAATCCGAGATACACACCTTAACAAAAACCAAGGCTTACTTATTTCCTACAAACAGTATCCAAGCACTGAGAGGTGCTGGACACCGTGTGCAACAATATCAAATTAGAATGGAAACAGGAGACACAAGGAAAACAAAAAATAAAAAACTCAAGTGAACATGAACGGGGTTTTTTTCTTTGTATAGCAAATATTGTGTACGGCGATGAGCTAGCTACCCATAGTTTCCTTCTTTTTATTGTGGTTAAACAATTCTCATCCTGAAAAAAAGATAACCTTCAGGTCTATATAAACGAGTAACAAAACGACCGTATCATTAAAAGCAGCATTTCTGGCACTTTAATAAATTTTTACCACATTCTGATGATGACGTGATTAGGACTCCTCCGACAGCACTGTATCATCCGAAAAACAGGTGCTGAAAGCACGACATCACCAGCAAAATTCACGATGGCGCAACGAAAAAATACTTCATGGCAATCTAGTGACTAGAAAAAACATGTACAAATGCTTATAAGAACCGACGCTCTAATGTAGATCGGCATGCTACTGCACCCAGGGAGAATATCCTCAGAAATCACTTTTGTCCTGTGTATTTTTAGGCACATTCACATCACAATCAAAATGAATATTTTCAAAAAATTATTTGCAAATATATGTAAAATGCAGTTTAATGAATCTAGACTTCATCCAACAAAAACCAAAAAATTCAACACAATTTTTACAGTGCATATGCAGAGCAAAGAGCCAAGGCTGTTTCCCTGGAACAAAACTCCCTTAAAATTTTAAACAACTGCAGTCAAAATCAAGGCCTGTATCGTATATCACTCTGTATGAAAGAAAGGCGCAAAATCGAAACGGAACCAGATACTATCATTTTTCCAACGACAACGACTCTAAGCAAGGGCAGAGGCATTTGCCTCAATTCCTCGGGAGAAACAAAACCAAACCAGTCTGATTCCACTGTTTGCTAGGCATATTATTAGTGTCGGTTTAGTCTCGGAATGAAGCAAAGAAAAGCCGAAGAATCGGAGCAAAGCAAAAAGCCATGCCTCCGACATTCGAGCAGCGGCATTTTCCAATGGAAATGCAGTACAGTTGGCTCTGGAATATAATGCAAGTGAACTTACCGATGGAACATGAAAGTGCTCTCAAGTTTGCTGTGGATCGCAAGCAGTGATCGGTGTATTCACACCAAGCGGCGTACCACACGTAGCTGGAGGTGCAGCAGGAGGGCCCTGATTTCCGGTATTCACGCCCCATCCGCCTATTGATGTCAACTCAAAATCCGGCATATAGGCTGAAAATAGCAATTTTTGGTTCAAATGCTGGCGCTTTGATATGAAACCCGTCCAAGCGACCCTCCATTCTCTAGGCCTGCAGCGTAGGCACCACGTGAAAAAGGCAAGCAGAAAGGCAGACCAACCCGATGTTTAAAAACTGCTCATTTTTGCAAGTCGCAGCAGCGAAGATGATCAATCATGCTATAATTTTACGCATTAAAGGCCAGTACTGGGGCAAAAATGAGCATTCACGCATGTCAGTTACACGTGTCACACTAGCTCCTCTTTTATATCGCGCAATTTCTTCGAAATCATTCCAAATTCAAGCAATTCTGCGTATGCCCAAATTTTAAACAAAACACCACGGCTGAAGGTATGGTAATAGTGTGTGGAAGGGGAATGAAGAGGAACAATTACTTTTGGTGCTTGGATTCATGTTCCAAATGAAAGAGGAAAACGGTGCGATGAAAGAAAAAAGGATTATTTCTTTTTGCAAAACATGCAAAAATTTCCTCTTCCAAAAAGTTGGTACCATAATGTCTTGACTACATATTATGTCGAAAAATGTTAAGGTTTTGAGCTTTTTGCGTTAAAATTGTGCTTGCAGTTTTAAGTGACTGTTTGATATTTTTTTCAGTTCCATCATATTTTGAAAGCTTGTTCTAACTGTATGGATCAGCTACTTTTTCGGTCCAAAAATTATTTCACCAAACCCACAGATCAAGGACCATAAATACATTAAACAACTGACCGATCTGCTGAATGCTCTGAAGTTCTCAATTAACTGAAGGCGTTATAACTGACTTTTAAGAAAATTTTCGCTGTGCATCCAGAAAACTGCAAAAAATTCTAATCATACCGTCA